GAAAAGGAAACCATTTGGGGCTGTTCCGACGGATGAGAACTATAGTTTCAACACGGTGGCACATAACGAAAGCACCGACGAATTATAATATTCGGCGTGATTCCTCGTTGCCTCTGAGATCAGTGGTTCTTGAAGTTACTACTTAATAAATGGTATGCATTACATCAATTGTTTATTATAAGTTTTATTTATGTGGTTTAATTGACTAACTCAGTTTTATATTTTTTGGGCCGGAAACTTGAGTGTTATTATTTGCATAAGCTTAAATTAACAGTTTCACCAGTGGATGTGCTATTCAAAACATTTTTTTTTTTCCTAAGTTGCTTACATGTAAGCTGTAAAAGTGAAATATTTTCAAATTATCGATGATAGAGAAACAGTGTAGTGGTAAGTTGCTACAAATAGCATCATTTACCTTCCAGAAAGTGGGCATTGAAAATGACGGAAAATTAACATTTTGTCGTGGGTATGAATTGTAAATTGTTTGTTCTGCAAAAAATAATTGAGTGCCCGCGGACTTTTCAGTACCAAAAGATTCATAAAGGACGAAATATTCATTTGCAACTTCAAATTTGATCAAAATATGAATACCAGTTTGATTTTATTTTAGCCAAAGATGTCTCATTTTCAGTTTTTTAAAAAGGCGGTTCCTCCCCTTACAAAGGACAGGGGGCCAGGGGGCCCCCAGGGAGCAAACTGAAAATCCGGTGCCAGTTTTGTGGAGCGGAAGGATGATATTATACCAGGATGTCAGCAGAATTTTAACCAGTCTTTTGCATTTTGAGATAATTAGTTAACAAAATCTCAGTTTTCAGGGTTAAAAATACCTCAAAAAATACATTTTTGGGCATGAACTTCCCCCCTGATCCCAAGTCTAGGTTAGTGCAGGAAGTGAAACAAATAACATCACGAATGTTTCCACCCCAAAGACTAACTACACACAAAGTATGAAGGAAACTTTATTTTGACCATTTCCAATTTGGCTCCATCCTTAGCGACATTCGTTCTTAAAGGGGCAGTATCACCGGGATTTTGACCCTTTTTGGTCAAAACTGTGCTTCAGTACCTTTTTTTATTTACAAAATAATTCTAGAACACCAAGAAAAAGAAATCAACCAAATTCTTGAAAGAGGAACAAATTATGGTCTGTTCTAGTGCAGTTTGGAACGAAAATGCGAGAAATTGAAAAAAAGTTAGCCTAACATTTTTTCAAATTGCGATCCATTCCGACCCAGTTTCTATGGCCAGAGACACTTATTGACAGTTTTAGTACACTAGGATGGTAATTTATGACAAAATTTGACCATTATTTTTAGGTTTCTGTTAATACAAAAACGTTTTTGGGTTTTTGAAATGACATCAAATCCCCATGATACTGCCCCTTTAAGAGCGGCAGCCTTTGAATCAACTATCCCTGACGATAATCAGTAGACCTTTTCAAATCCATTAACTCTCTAAGCAGCGTATCTTGAAACTATAATATAATAGCAGCTTAGTTCTATTATTAGAAACAGAACTTAATCCTAATGAGTTTGTTGTGCTGATTGAATAACCAGGAGTAGCAGTCGGCAAATATCAAGCACAGCATCTGCGGGAAACACATTCAATTTCTGTCGCCACAAAATTTCTTGCCGGCAACGTTTGTTAATTCGTTCTTCCTGCTAATTTTAATTACGCAGTTTGTGAGTTTTAACAAGTATTGTTATGTCATCGGAGTTTTACTGAATTCAGTTGAACTCATGTGAACTCGGACAGCGTTTCAAATACCGCCTCAAGAACTGAGAAAACCGATTATAAAGTACAAAGATTTCTTGTCTGATTTCGGTATAAAACTGTTTATTTTGTACCACATCAGAACTGTACGAACCGTATTGTTGGATGACAGCAAAACAAAAGGTTAGTAACCCACAAATGCCACCTCTTCAGAATGATTTAAATTTTAAGGCAATAGGCTTGTATTTAAAAGGCGTATATGTAGTTCATTGCAATTGTCAAGGATATAATAATCGATATATACACAAACCCTGATTTTAGTTTAAGTCGTTGCTTGCATATTCTAGACAGGTGAATTAGTGAATCGATTTAATTATTTTGTTTTAATTTTCGCCATTTTCAAGTGTAAACGACCTGTTACTGAGAAATAAAAACCCAGTGCAGCCCATGAGTAATTCGTAAGAAAAAGCCAAATTCTGTTTCATCCACGTGGTATTTCTGTCAAAAAGACACTATTGGCTGGTCTGAATATGAGTCGAAACCAGCCAGAATTATATAGCGGGTCTGTATATACCTATGTCTGTAAAATATGCTAATATGAACTTTCATGCTTGATTTCCATAAACAAATTCCAGATGATGAAACTTGCCATCTATAACTGAAAATAATTGTTTGAGATGTATCATAACTGAGCACTAAAGTTAATATCAGTCATATCAGGGGTCTATAACTTTGTTATATACCTCCTTGATATATTTAAGCAGGGTCTAATATAATGTTACATTATACCTTTTATAAATTATTCGTGCTTATCAGTTTTTTGCAAATCTAGAGAAAATAGCTTTATCTCATTGATCTATATCAACATTTATTTTACCGCTCGCTGAAAATATAGCAATTTGTAATTAGGAACTGTTGCGGTAAAATAAAATAAAATTGGATGAAGATAAGGTCCGAAAATGTTAAAACAAGATTAACAAACTTCTAATATTAAATATTTATGAATTATCTTCGCTGAAAGCTATACATTACCTACTTTTGTAATCACTGTAATAGTAGTATTATGTCTGGTCCATATGAAAAAACGTTTATTAGAGAAATTCAACTACACAACCCTTTTTATGAGATACTATATACGGTATACACCTATTTCAATTAACGTTGTCGGATAGAAATGTCTTAAAAGCCCGCAAGACAAGACCGAAAGGTAGCATGAGTAAAAGTAGAAAACTGCTGCACGCATCGAATACTAATGAGAAGTAACATGTAAAACATTATTAATAACGTTTCCTTTTTGTTTTAAACCTGTAGAAGTAAGCTACTTTTAGCCAAACTAAATTTTAGCAGAATCAGCTAGTGAACAAACATGGAAAAACAAATTATATAATTCGGGGCAAACCAAATACATCACGTGCGAAATAAAAACGTGTAGATTTCTTTTCCAGCGATATGCAAATTCTAATGAATACCCAGACTACCATTTGGTCTTGTCTTGTAGGTTTTACGCTTTTACTCGATTTTTATCCGACAACGTTAATTGAAATAGGTGTATACTAGTAAGTTGCTTAACAAAGCTATCCTCCTTCCCGTTTTCGTCGAAATAATTCTACTCAAATTTCAGCTTGAAATTTTTTAGACAGACATAGAGATAGGAAAATGATGTCTCCTTCAAAAAAAAGAAAGTATTTTTGTAAATATCCCCTACTTATGTATATAAATCGCACTCAATTACTGTTCGATTGTAAAGTAATGTAAAATATACATATAAATAGAAAGTGGTGTAAAGTTTTAAGTGCAGTAATGTGACAGTTGACAAATAAAGAATTAAAAAAAATAATAATCGCAACTTCATTCAGTTCCTATTTTTAGCACAACCAAATTTGTAATGAAAGTAATAATGTAGTGTTTAAAATAACTTTGCCAGAACAAACGTATGTGGAATTCATTACCTTTGGAGGTCCGTTCAGTATCAAGTGTTAGCATTTAAGGCTGGAGTGAAGGATTATATTTATCGGATTACTAACTGAGTTTATATGATAGCCGTATTTAATCTTTTTTTTACATAACATTATAATTTTTCTTGTACATAATCTAAGTTTTGATATCAGGTGATCTTTCCAGAGTCAAACCTTGAGTCAATAAATTTGGTTCTAACTTTTAAGTCTGGATGAAACCCTAGTGTGTGACTATTCAAATGAAAGCCATGAATATTTCAACACTATGATGATGGAAGGTTGACTGAACAAAATTGCTAATATTTTCAGATAAAGAAAACATTTCTATTTATTCTTCGCAGTTTGATCTTGGCGAACCTGGTGACGTCATGTACGATTCCCACTTTCTGACTCCGCCCCATGAACGGCCGCGCAGCACTCGTTCCCATTCTCTCAAGTCGACGAGTCAACCCAACCTACTCACACACCGTAAGCGACTCTACAGTCTGCCATCCAAACCTGTTATTCCACCTTATATTATCATACAAGGTTGCCGTGACAACAAGGAGAGTCATAGTGACGAAGAAGAGTCGAGTTGTGAGTGGAGCAATGAGAGTATGGGTAAGAGATCTGGAAAAGGTTTTATTTTATTCATTCTTTCGACCTGCATGTGACAGTAACAGTCTTCTTTCAGCTACAAGAACAAGTGTTTTAATACAACTATGCACACCTTTTTGTAACAAAACTCATATTAAAGAATAAATCACAGATAATTAACTTGAAAACCTTAATTTTACACTAGGTTAACCCTTTCAACCTTTCCAAGAGTGTTATGTTCAAAACGGAGGAAAACGTCTTGAATTTCATTTTGCAAAATTGTCAAAAACCAACAGTACCACTTGAAAGTACTGCTCAGTAGCTTTGAATGGTCACACACTAGGGTTTCATCCACAGCCTTGAAAATTGGAACCAAATTTATTGACTCAAGGTTTGACTCTAGAAGTGAAAGGTCTCATTTTATGGGAAATTTAAAGTCAATAAATATCAGTATTGAGATACTTAAATTTCAAACCACGTTCAAGTTTTGAACGGGATACAAGACTTTACTTTTTATCTTCTGTTTCTGTAGCAAAATATATTAACAAATTATAGGAAAAAATGTCTCAGCTATGTCAATCCCAATTTTGATTCTTTTCATATTGTTTTCCTTTCAGCGTGGTACACACCAGTTGTGGGATTATCCTGTAGCCTTGTGATGTATTTTTGGTCCTGCGCACTGGCCTATTATTCTGCAACATGACGAACTGGTAAGCTTATTTGTTTATGAATTTTTGTTCTTTTTCAAATTTGTGAGGCGCGGTGGCCTAATGGTTAGGGAACTGGACTCTGGATCAAGAGGTCTGGGTTCAAGCCCTGGCCGGGTTCATTGTGTTGTGTTCTTGGGCACCCAGGAGTATTAATGGGTACTGCCGAACTGATAGGGACCTCTGACGAAATACTGGGACACCATGGTCTGTGCATGTTTTGCGGACCTATGTGTAGCTATAGTTCTCATGATTCTATGTGTGTCTTATCAACCCTTTCACGCCCAAGAGTGCTAGGTTTAAGGCTGACGAAAAAAATCTTGAATCATATTTGGCAAAATTGTCAAAAACAAACAGCACCACTTGGAAGTACTGCTCAACAGCTTTCATTTGAATGGTCACACACTAGACTCAACTTTTGACTCTGGGAGTGAAAGGCTTAAAATATAACCTGGTTGTCAAACATTTATCTCCATTTTGTGGTCTCTATATTTTCCTTCTAGGATCAGGGACAAAAGAAGGGAACGCAGTTTGATATGAAATTGTAAATTTGAAACAGATCATGAGCAGGCCTCCCGCGAAAATAAAGAATGGTATTCCAGGAAATAAATACCAAAAACAAAATCCACTGACAACGGAGATGGACTGACACAAACCATCGCTACAGAAATGACAAAGTTCGCAAAATGGCAAATAAAGGACATGAAACGAGACGATGAAAAAACAAACAATTATTTTTAACATTATTAGTATACTTGTGAAATAATAAGGATGATATAAATATTATCGGCAAAGTGAAATTGTGAGCATTTTATTTAATAAAGATTAGATTCCTACAAGTCTTGTTTTATTCTTCTTGTTTTATTCCTCTTATATTCTTCTTTATTCTTCTTATACATACACAAGAAAGAGAAAAAAACACATGAGCGTCTTCTAATATTTTAACGTATATTTGAGTAATATATCAAACAGGAGAGTCGGTGTTTCATCAGATTTCCAAACACCGAGAAGAGAGTTGAAAATACGATGCGTATAGCGGTGTTTGGAAATCGGATGAAACACTGTTTCGAGTGTTCGAGATATCTTCTCAATCGGAACAAAAACTAACAAGTAAACGGTGAAATAAAATCGTAAAAATCTATGCTAAAAAAGATCAGATATCCAAACCTCCGACACGGTTATGATTTCCTTTGTTTTAAGCTGATGAATTATTAATGAGTTTAAGAATGTTTAGTTAAACATGGTTTAAAATAGTTTCGTATAGTTGTTGACTGTGTTTAATTGACATTTGAAAGTTTTTTATAATGGAACTACAAGTGGAACCTTATTTTAACCTTTAATTTATTTTAAACCTTCAATTTACAGGCGACTGTCGTTTCGGGTTTTAAAGTTAATTTAAAACTTATTTATTTACTTAATTCGCCAATGGCGGGTAAACAGACAATAGGACCATGGCGTCCCTTGCTAGGCCTATCTACCCAGCCCAGCCCCAGCCTTCACTCTAAATGTTCTCAATAGTGAAATTGAATTTAACTAAGTTTACCTAGATTATATTTAAATTATTCTCAGTATTAACATGATGTTCTTTGAATATCGTCTGGTTTAATTGTTTTTAACCTCTCTTGATGACATCATCGATGACATCATTGAGACAATAAAAATAGAAGGCGGTGGCAAAATCTTGCCGCTGACCTGTCGTCATTTCTTGGCATAGTAGGCCAGCGCACAGGACCAGAAAAATATCACAAGACTACAGGATAATCCAACAACTGGTGTGTACCACGCTGAAAGAAAACGGAATAGTTCATTTCATTGTAAATGGTTTATTTTTTAGTAAGTAACTGTATTCAGTTTGTCACGAGCGTGGTACAAAGAAAAAAATCTGAATTGAGCATGACCTTCCGTACACCGGTCGGATGCTCTGTTTATTTTTTACTTATTTATTTTTTTGTTAATAGTTCACTAACTATCCATTATCAGACCCATTATTTTCCTTTTAAAATTCCTAAAATTATTAATTAATTTAAAATTAATTTGTAAATGAAACAAATGTTTTTTTAATTTCTCCTATATGTGAAATAAATAGACATGTCAAGACTGGACGCTAATACGAAAACTTAGCGGTTAATTTAGCCTCGGACATAATATCACAAATTTATCCAAACCCTTCTTTTGGTCTAAATTCTGATACTCATTATATCATGGAGATCACAATGTTTTAGCTAACTCTTCACGTATATCACAAATTTATCCAAACCCTTCTTTTTGTTTCTAAATATCTTGATTCTCATTCAATATCCGAGAAACTTCTAAATATCTCAAAACATATCCGGATATTTGTGTCTAGTCCTAATCACCGCTGACACATACCCATTTCCTCCTCACTTGCTACACAGTCATCTTCGTCACTGTCCTCTTGATCATTCCAGTTGTCATGGCAACGTTGAATATTAATCAGCGGTAGCAGAACAGGCTTGGATGGCAGGCTCATGGTGCGCTTAGAACGCTGCTTGAAAAGCATCATGGGCTGACTTTGTGGTTTAAGGGAATGGGAACGACTGTTGCGTGAACGAGCAGAAAGCCGCAACATGTCACCATCGCCAGACATGTTGTCAGAGTCGGATTGATTCAGACTGCGATAAAATACGATAAAATTGAAAAAGAGTCTGAACCCTTTCACTCCCAAGAATGCTAAATTCAAAACACAGGAAACAATCTTGAATTTCATTTTGAAAAATTGTCCAAATCAAACAGTACCACTTGAAAGTACTGCTCAATAGCGTTCATTTGAATGGTCACACACTAGGGTTTCATCCACAGACTGTAAAATTAGAACCACCTTGTACAGCATAATAAACAATATCACGTGAAAGTACTGCTCAATAGCTTTCATTTGAATGGTCACACACTACGGTTTAATCCACAGACTCAGACGTTACAACCACATTTATTGACTCAAGGTTTGACTCTGGGAGCGAAAGGGTTAATCTTTGTCATATTAATTGCTCAGTTTAAGTTGTCGAAAGGGCGATTTTCGAAATAAAAAAATAACAATAATGATTTATTATTAACTAAACGAAACTCAATTATCTACCTCCAAAAAAATTATATTCCATTGCAGTTGTAACAAAATAATACGAGAAAAGCCACTGAATATAACATTTATATAGTATATAATATATTATATTATGAATATAAGTTTTTCATAATTAAAATTTATCGCAACGGCGCAATTACTTTCAATTTACACTGTTTATTTTAAAATAAAATCACAAAATTCATCCTTATTCCTTATTTGTGCTATGATTCATAATGCCATTGATTACCTTAAATATTCAAATACAATATTTCGTCTCAATAATGTATCATTTGATTTCAGACCGTATGTAATAGCAGCGAAAAAAATACTGATGAAGCAACTATAATTGTAAATATCATATAGTTTTAATTTATCAAAGTAATATTTTGGCAAAGCAGTAAAAAATAATTTATAGTGATACAACATAATTTCTAATCTTACCTGATAGGTTTTGAAATCCGGACTCCACAGCCTTTGTCGCACGAAAAGCGAATGTGTTTGTCTCGGATTATTTTCTTTTCGGTTTCGGGTGATAAATGTCGTATTGCCTCTCTATTGAGTCCGGTCAATATCAAGTACCACCTGCACTGGGTTAGAAACCAACACGGAAAATAAAAAAAACCTTATTATTTTTAGCAAAGACGAAGGAAAATGAGAGCGAGAAAAGCAATGTAATATTTTGGATGGAAATTGCGCCGAAATGCCAATTAAAAATGCTTGTCATCGAAGCTCAAAACATGGATCGTGTTTGATCAGTTGACGAGTAAGCGCACATACACAATGGAAAAGTAAAAATAGGACAAAACCCTTGTCAACTTAAAAGCAGCGCTGCTGACAGCTCGTAAAGTGATGGACAGGCAAGAACTCTAACAAAAGAAAGACGGCCTTAAATGAATTTCAATCATTGTTACCAGGTTTCTAAACTATATCATTTGTGTGCGGAATTATTGACAAATGAACATAGGAAAAAATATATTTATAGAATTTCAACAGAAATGCATTCAACATCGTTGCGAATGAAAGAAACGCACAGGATCAATATTAACTGACAGTCGGCTACAAAATTAACATTTCACACATAAAGGGAGGAAATTTGCGCTCAAGTGCCGTGGCTAATGGTACCACTTGTCAGCAAAAAAATATCGGTTGAAAGACTGGGCGCTAGAATTAGTTTCATACTCGCGCGTACGGTAGAATCAGATGAATTTTATTTTAATTTTATTTAGCTAAAAACAGAAACAATTTTTACACCTGCCTAGTGCACTTCTATTTATTTTCCATGTAAATGACTCAGTTAAATTTAATTTTAATTTTTTGGCGGATTATTTTTTGGAGGGGGGTGGCTGATTGGACTGACTCACGCCTGGTATAACCTGAAAATGTACTCTCAACACTTTATAGCGTTATTTCTCATTACGTCACCTATTGTTATTAATGTGCCAACCAGAGAACTTTTGGCTGTTGAAACAAAGAGTTCTTTTGTTTAATGGTTGGCAAATTTGAATAACCAAAACAAATTTGACGTAATGTTTGTAAAACAGTGAACACTCCTTGTGTAACGATATTGCATAATAGCGGCTTGGTTACCAAAGCACTCGCGTCAGAAAAAAGCCACGAGTTGAGTTTATGTACAACATAGTTCTAGAACTACAGGAAATACAGAAAGCTTTGTACACCTCGTGTATAAGTCGATGTAGAAGAACTTTACACCTTGAAAGTATGCGCCATAACTTACCAATTTTATCACAATTTCCTCTCAAATATAGCCGCTGCTTGCCATAGGATTCTTCGTGAACCATTAGAAACCATTTTGAAGTTTCCGAAGCAGAATAAGACTCTTGGGTGCAGATGTTCTTCTGGGGTTGAACAACTCTTGTTGTAGAGATGAAGCGTGACGCGGATTGACTACGTTAATTTGAGTAAAACGATGGCTTATGCATATTTATAATTAAACAGCAAATTACCTGCCTTGTAGTCAGGTCCTTGTTTGGCCGCTCCCCACCGTTGAACAAGGGTAACGAGGACTCTGGGAACGAGATTGCC